CCGCCGCTGCATCATACTGGTAAGAATTGGTGCTGGGGGGCTGTCCATGTATATATATATATTCATACATAGAATTTATATATATATATATATATACATACATATACATATATATATATATGTGTGTATGTATGCATGTATGAATGCATGTCCGTCTGTCTGTCTGTCTGTCTGTCTGTCTGTCTGTCTGTCTGTCTGTCTGTCTGTCTGTCTGTCTCTATGTATGTATGTATGTATGTATGTAAGTACGTACGTATGTACGTACGTACGTACGTACGTACGTACGTACGTACGTACGTACGTACGTATGTATGTATGTATGTATGTATGTATGTATCGATGGATGTATGCATGCATGCATGCATGCACGCATGTCGGAGGATGGGGGGTGAGTCCGACGTGAAACGAGGACCCCCCTACCGGGAAATCGATTTCGGTTTCGGGTTCGTGTCGTGCGTGCCGTGCGTGCGTGCGGGCGAGGCGAAGCTGCGTGGGCGTGTGAAAAAAAATCCTCCTGTGGCTGGGCCGCGGCCGGACCAAATGATTCTCCCTCCAGCGGCCGGTGGCGCGCGGTGTCCCGCCGGTGTCCCGCTGGTGTCCCGAAATCCTCCTGTGGCTGGGCCGCGGCCGGACCAAATGATTCTCCCTCCGGCGGCCGGTGGCGCGCGGTGTTCCGCCGGTGTCCCGCTGGTGTCCCGAAATCCTCCTTTGGCTGGGCCGCGGCCGGACCAAATGATGCTCCTCCAATCAAACGGTGGCCCGCGGTGTCCCGCTGGTGTCCGGCCGGTGTCCCGCCGTGGGTTGTACATTTAAGAACATCGCCCCTTGTGGCGAGCTATCCAATGCAAGTCTGCATGCAAACCGACATGCAGACCGAAAAGCACATCGAAATGTAGATCGATTTGCACATCCAAATGCAAATCGTAAGGCGCCGTGGGCGCCGCGGCGAGCTTTCCAATGCACGTCGACATGCAAATCGAAAAGCAAATCGAAATGCACATCGATATGCAAATCCAAATGCAAATCGAAAGGCACATCGTCATGCCAAATGCAAATCGATATGCACATCCGAATGCAAATCGAATCACCACTTTTGCCCACTGCTGCCCCCCAACATCCTCATCACCCGCAGGGTGGTCGTATAGGTATGGCATGAATGTGTACATCGGAGGTGAGGGGGTGAGATCGAAGTGAAACGGAGAGCCCCCCTACCGGGAAATCGATTTCGGTTTCGTGTTCGTGCGTGCCGTGCATGCGGGCGAGGCGAAGCTGCGTGGGCGGGCGAGAGAAAGTCTCCTGTGGCTGAGGCGCGGCCGGACCAAATGATTCTCCGCCGGGCGGCCGGTGGCGCGCGGTGTCCCGCCGGTGTCCCGCTGGTGTCCCGTGTGGCTGAGGCGCGGCCGGACCAAATGTCTCCCTTCCGGGCGGCCGGTGGCCCGCGGTGTCCCGCCGGTGTCCCGCGAAAGTCCCGCGGTGTCCCGCGGTGCCCCGCGGTGTCCCGCCGGTGTCCCGCGGTGTCCCGCGATGATGATGATGATGATGATGATGATGATGATGATGATGATGATGATGATGATGATGATGATGATGATGATGATGATGATGATGATGATGATGATGCTGATGATGATGATGCTGCTGCTGATGATGATGATGACGTCGATGATGATGATGGTGATGCTGCTGATGATGATGAGGACGATGATGATGATGGATGATCCCGATGGTGATGATGATGATGATGATGATGTCGATGATGATGATGACGATGATGATGATGATGATGATGATGATGCTGATGGTGTCCCGATGATGAGGATGATGATGATCATGATGATTATGTTGATGATCATGATGATGACGATGATGGTGTCCCGATGGTGATGAGTATGATGATGTTGATGTTGATGATGCTGATTATGATTGTCCCGATGATGATGTTGATGATGATGAGGTTGATGATGATTATGGCGTCCCGATGATGATGATTATTCTGATGGTGATTGTGATGATGTTGATGATGATGGCGCCCCGATGGTGATGATGATGATGATGATGATGATGATGATGATGTTGATGCTGATGTTGTTAATGATGATGATGGTGCCCCGATGATGACGACGATGATGATGATGCTGATGATGATGTTGATAATGCTGATGATGATGATGATGATGTCGATGATGAGGATGAGATGATGATGATGGTGTTCCGATGATGATGATGATGATGATGATGATGATGATGATGATGCTAACGATGGTGATCATAATGGTGTCCCGATGCTGATGCTGCTGATGATGATGATGACGATGACTGTGTCCCGATGCGGCTGATGATGATGATGTTGATGATGATGATTGTGATGATGGTGATGATGATGATGGTGGTGTCCCGATGATGTTGATGACCGTGATGATGATGATGTTGGCGTTGATGATGAGGACGGTGTCCCGATTATGATGATGTTGGTGAGGATGATGTTGATGTTGATGTTGTTGTTGATGATGATGATGATGATGACGTTGATTGTGACAGCGGTTGTGATATCGATAGTGAAATCGATAGTGAGACCGAATGTGATATCGATTGTGAGATCGATTGTGAGATCGATTGTGAGGTCCATAGTCAAATCAATTGTGAGATAGATCGAGTGAGATCGATTGTGAGATCGATCGAGGGAGATCGATCGAGCGAGACCGATACTGAGATCGATAGTGAGATCGATAGTGAGACCGATCGAGTGAGACGTTGGTTCCTCCCCCCCCCGAACCTCCTTATCACCCGAAGGGTGGTCGTATAGGTACATAAACAAATAAGCGTGTACGTACGTAATACATACATACCTATACGACCACCCTGCGGGTGATAAGGAGGTTGGGGGGGAGGGGGGCCAGCAATGGGCAACAGCGGTGATTGTTGGGATGCTGTTTGCTCTTGGGAGCCTTGGTGTCGAGTTGTTTACGTGATCGATCTCACTCGGTCAATCTCACTATCGATCTCACTATCGATACCACTCAATCGATCTCACTATCGATCTCTCTATCGATCTCACAAGCGATGTCGTTATCGGTCGCACGAATCGATCTCACCATCGATCTCACGATCGATCTCTCTATTGATCTCACAAGCGATGTCGTTATCGGTCTCACGATCGATGGAACCATCGATCCCACTATCGATCTCACTCGATCGATCTCACTATCGATCTCACTCGATCGATTTCACTGTCGATCTCACTCTGGATCTCGCTATCGATCCCACTAACGATCTCCCTGTCGATATCACTCGATCTCACAATCGATATCACTATTCATCTCACTATCGATCTCACTATCGATCTCACGATCGATCTCACTATCGATCTCACTATCGTTCTCACTATCGATCTCACAATCGATTTCGTCATCGGTCTCACTATCGTTTTCGCACCAGCGGGACACCGGGACACCGGCGGGACACCGGCGGGACACTGGCGGGACACCGCGCGCCACCGCTTGCCGGAGGGAGAATCATTTGGTCCGGCCGGGGCCCAGCCACAAGCGGGACACCGGCGGGACACCAGCGGGACACCAACGGGACACCGCGCGCCACCGCTTGCCGGAGGGAGAATTATTTGGTCCGGCCGCGCCTCAGCCACAGGAGACCTTCCTCTCGCCCGCCCACGCAGCTTCGCCTCGCCCGCACGCACGGCACGCACGAACACGAAACCGAAACCGATTTCCCGGTGGGGGGCTCTCCGTTCCACTTCGATCTCACCCCCCAACCTCCGACCTACATACACACATGCATGCATGCGTACATACATACATATGCTCCCCCCCAGCACTCCATCTCGAATGGTTCTTCAACTCGCGACACTCCTGATCGTCTCTCCTGTTCTCTCTGACTGCTGTTTTCCTTCTTCTCCTCCACGTTCCTTGCACTGCCTCCCCCCTCCTCCTCCTGCTCATCCTCCTCCTCCTCTCCCTCCTTCTCCCTCCCTCCCTCCCTCCATGCATCCCTCCCTCCTCCTCCTCCTCCTCGCGCACCTCCTCCCGTGTCTGTCTCCTCCTCCGCCTCCTCCTCACCACCGCTATCCTCCCTCCTCGCCCCTTTATCCTCCCTCTTCCCCTCCCCCCCCGCCATTACTCATTAATCCTCCTCCTCCTCCTCCTCCTCCTGCGTCTTTGTCGTTGTCCTCCTCCTCCGCATCCCTTCTCATCGTACTCCTCCGCCTCCTCACCACCACCACCACCATCCCCTCTCCTCCCTGCCCCCCGTCCTCCCCCGCCATTCCTCTGACGACGGTTCTGGCGATGGTGACGCTTACGAGCACGAGTAAAATGGTAGAGACGATGATTTGTTGCTTGCGTGGAGGGCGCGCAAAGAGATGGCATGAAGGTAAGAAAAAGGAGGGATAAGATGAGAAGCGGAGTCGAATGGTTGCACATAGGCGCCATCGGAACGGATGAGGAAAATGGAGAAAACGAAAACACACATAAAACAAGCAATATCGGAGAGGGAGGTTGGCAACCGTGATGCTCTTCGCGTCTTCTTTCATGATAGATTACATTGCGCTTTTTTGGCTTCTGATGTCCCCTTTCATTCTCACTTCCTGCCCTCAGGATTCAAATCCAGATTCAACAGGAAGGGGCGAGGAGAAAGGGGAGGGAGGAATCGATTCGGATTGACTAGGATTTAAGTACGGATTCAATAGGAAAAGGCAAGGAGGAGAGAGAGGGAGGATTCGATTACGATTGACAAAGATTCAAGTTTGCAGAGATGACGATCTCACTCGATAGATCATCTTCGAGCCATAACAGCTTCGGCGTGGACACCCCGCTCCACTCAGTCCAGGCCTGCACGGGCCTTGCTCAGGGGACCACTTAGGGCCCAAATCATGCACTAGGGCCTATGGGCCTAACGCTCACGCCAGGGCCTCCTTGGGCTCTGGCCTACTATCTGGCCGCCTCGGGAGGGGCCGTACACTCACTGACGCCTGCACACCCCCACGGCGCCTCGTCGAGGCACGTCACCTCGCTCACCTTGCCATTGGCCGCAAGCTCGTTCTCACCCGTGGCTCGCCTCGGGCAGCACAATGAACCTCGGCGTCGTGTGCTTCCACTTGTACGTGCATGGCGATTGACTAGCCTTCTCCTCCGTCGTCGGCCTGTCCGTGAACTTCACCTTGTTGCTCAGCTCCTTTCTCCGATTCGGGGTATTCGTATGCTTTACCAGGTTTTGCTTCGTGGTGCTGTCCATCTTCGCCCACCACTTGCAAATCAAACACCCGAGCAGTGCTCCTGCCACGAACGTTGTCATCATCACGATCAGGATGATCATTGTCGTGTGGTCGTCGATCCAGTCCTGCAGCTTTGTAGCCTCCCAGAGGGTAACTGCGCCCTGGTCGAGATCTCGCACTGCGCATTTACTCGCCTTGGTCGCACCGCCCGTCACTCCTTGCGCGAGCAGTGTCGCCAACAAGCCTTGCTTAGCCCAGGCGCTCGTTGTCACCGAGCACGCCTCCAGCTCCTTATGCTTGTCCATCTCGCTGCAGTCCATGATGCCAGCAAGTTCCCGCAGGTACTCGAACCGCTCCGTGGTATGCGCCTTGGCCCCTAGGTCGGCCACGTTCTTTGTTCCACTCTCCTTCTTGATGATCAGTCCGTGGACCTTGCGCCCCTGCTGGATCCACAGCGCCCGAACGTCCAGGTGCTTCACCTTTCCGACGCCCTCGCGGTTGATCATCGCCTTCGCGGCGCTGCTGTCGATCCCGAGCTCCCAGGTCACCTTGAAGCCCAACCACTCTAGCATGTTCTTCACCAACTTGCCGCCCATCACCACCGAGGTCGCGCCGTAGAACTCCGCCTCACCTGAGGATGTGCTCTGAACTCCTTGCCTCCTTGCGAACGCTGCAAAATGCACTCCGTCCAGCTTTGCGATCCCACATGTCATCGCACGCCTCGTCTCCTTGCACGTCGCGAAGTCCGTGTCTGTGAACAACTGCAGCTTCACTTCTCCAGGCTTGCTCCCAGTTGGCTTTTCCATCAGCACTCCATACGTCTTTGTCCCCTTCAGGTACCTCACCAGCTTCACCAGTCGCTTCCTGTCAAACTCCGTCGGCTGACTCAGGTTCCTGGTCAGCAGCTGCACGTCCCGCTGGATGTCGGCTCTGTCGGGCGAGATGTAGAGCGCGATCCCGACTCCTGTGCGAAACTTCGCCCTCTCGATCTCGTCCAATTCAGGACTCCATGTCGGGTCCTCCTCAGTCAAGCTTGGTACCCTCGTCGGCTTGGACTTCTCCATGCCCATTACGTAGATCAGGTCGTCGATGTGCTTCACGTTCGGCCGCAGCATGATGTTGCCGTTCATGAGCCTCAGCCTGTCCCGCTTCAGGTGCGAGTAGCGCCCCTGCCTGATGACATCCGTCGCTTTCAGGTCGAACACCTCCCGCAGCCGCTTGATGATCCCCTCCAGGCTGCTGATTGGACCCTCCCCGTGGAAGTCGTCCATGTGCACCTCGATCAGGATCTTCTTCTCTCTGTGGTAGTAGAACTGCGGCTGACACTCACTCCTGTCGAAACCCTCTCCCTTCAGGGTCTTCGCCGCCTTGTCCACCCAGCCAGCGCCTGCCACGCGCTGCCCAGGTAGCATCTTGTTGAGCGCCCAAACGATGTCGGTCGGTCTGCCCATCTCCGCCAAGATCGCCAGATACTCAGCAGGTGGCCCCACACAAACCTTCTCAGTCTGGTCCGCTTGGTAGTACGCCTTCACGCAATCCGCGATGAAGGTCCCGTGGTTCTCCTCTTTGATGCTGACGAAGTCCACCAGCCTGCTCGTCTGTGCCGATGAGCTCGCTGCGAACACGTCGTCACGCTGCTCCATCCACTTGAACTCCTGCGCCACATACCGCCACTTGCAGATACCTCCTCGCATCTGCGGCTCCCAGCGCGCCCTGATCCTCTTGAACTCACCGCTCTCGCTCCTCGGGACGTCCCTGTGCACCCCGTAGTGCGCCAGCACTTCTAGTGCCTCGCGCTTGCCCTTGAGCTCCACCGCGGGCTCCAGTCCGCTGACCGTCATGTAGCAGTCGGTGCCCATCCTGTCCAGGATGCTGTTGTCGATAGGGTCGTCGAGCGAGATGGCGCCCACGTGCTTCGCGCGCTTGCCTGGTGCGCCGAAGTCTTCAGCGTCGGCAGGTCTGACAAGACCTCGAGGTGTCATCGGCACGTCCGCATCCGTCGTGCTCTTCTCCTCTGGTCTCGCTGCCGCTGCCGCTCCAGCTCCAGGTCCCGCGGGCGCCGCCGATGGCCCCGCGCTCGCTGCTGCAGCCGGCTGCGCCCCCTGCTCGGGCGCCCCCTGGGGTGGCGCCGCCTCGCGCGCTGCCTCCTGCGCCTCGGTCTTCGCCTTCTGCTCCGCCGCCGTCAAGACGATCGTGGGCATCGGCCTCTGAAGCCTGGGCAGTAGCTCGCACGGCTTGGCGCTCCTCGCGTCCCAGGGCAGGGCCTTCACTGCTTTCATCAGCTTGTCATCTGCCCGCAATGCTGGCTCCAGCCGCCTGCATGTTCTTGCGCGGTGCCAGCCCGCTGGCGTCAAGAACAAGTGGTCGTCGCTCTCCTTGTGCTTCCCGATCCAGAGTCCTTCACGAAACTCGACTCGCCCTTGCGCTTCAGGGACGTAGCCGCGATGCGCCTCGTGTGGGAGATCGGGGTCTTGAAGAGAGCCGTCTCGCCAAAGGGGAGAATCTCTCCGTTGTAGGTCACTCCGTAGGCTGCCTGATGGGACGTCCTCCCATCGGCTCGTGGTCGGTACGTAGGCGTAGCCCAGCTAACGTGCCGTGTAAGCCAACACCAGATCGGTGCGTCCGCTGTGATCTTCATGCCATAGCGCTTCTCCAGGTCGAATTTGTACGTCCTCACCTTCGCCTGAAACCATCTGATCGAAGCCTCAATCGCGCCCATGCTCTGGCTGTCCTTCAGGTTCCCACGCTTCTCTTCTAGCTTGATGCTCTTGCTCAGCCTCTTCCGCACCTCCTCCACCAGGTTCACGATCGTGGGCTCGCCGTCCGTCTTGATGTCCGCCGTCGTGAGATGCAGCCCTCAATGAAGCTGCTCACGCTGGCTATTGCGTAGTCCGTGACCGCCTTGGTGGGCATCGAGACTGCATTGAACATCAGCGTGCCCCTGTCCGCCATCACGAGCGTCGTCGGGAAGATGTCCGCCGCTGGCGGCTCCTCATCTCCGATCTCCGTCCAGTCGCCGTTGGTCTTCAGGTAGCAGAAGTCCAGGGTGATCTGCGCCTTCCCAGTGTCCTTCTGGTCGAACGTGAGGGTCTTGCGCGGCTTGGTCGTCTCGTTCCCCCGCACGCAGGCCTCGCACCACGGCGCTCTCGTGAGGTGCAGCAGTTCATGAGCTGCTCGTTCTTCATCCGTGGGCGCTGCTGGCCCTGCCACTTCTCGCGGTGCTATCGTGGGTCCTCCTTGAACGGACTCGTCGTGCCTGCGCTCCAGCTCCTTCATCTTCAGGTGGTGTGCCGTGAGCCTCCGCTCCGCATCGCTGAGTCTGGCCCACAGCTCGTCCTTTCTGCCGTAGATTGGCTGGCCCATCTCCTTGAGCCTTGCCCGCATGTCCTCCACGCGGCTGGAAGGGTGCAGGACGATCTCCTGCCCTTCGCGTAGCACCACGGGATGTCGAGCCAGTCGCTCTCTTCCCGCGCTCTCAGCTGCTCCACCTCGCTCTGGAGCCGAGGCGGCGGCCGCAGGTGCAGCCGGTGCCGCTGTCGCTGCTCCGCTGCCCGCAGCCCCAGGCGTCGGCACGAACGCCTCCTCCTGCTGCTCATTCGCGTTCACGCTGGCCGCGAACTCCTTCGCCTCCGCAGCTGTCTTGAAGGTCTTCGCGTTGAATCCCAGCGTGTTGTTCTTCCTGGTGAGCGGGATGCCCTTGTTGAGGTCACCGCCAGGGTACATGCACATGCCCGTCTTCGCGCTCAGCCAGAACTCGGCACCCTTATCCATCACCTCCAGCAGCGAGAGGATTGGCTTCGATACCGTGTCACCTAGCCTGAAATCTGCTTTCAGCAACTTCAGCTGCTCGCACTCGTCAGTAACCGCCATCGGCACCGTCGCAATGGAGTCCATCTTGATCTCGTTGCGCTGCGCGCCCAGCAGCCTCGGGCCGTGACCCTCTCCTCTCCTGCATCCTTAGCCGAAGCAGGTCGGCCCCACGTGGCAGTCACTCGCGGTGTCCAACGTGATGAAGGTCGTCTCCACGAGCTCCATGCCGCAGCACTCCGTCTCGGGATCCTCCACCTCCATCGCCATACAGTAGAGCTGGTCGTCGTCGCAGATCCCGCACTCGTACTCCGCGTACTCGATCTTGGCCACCGTCTTCGGGTCCGTGCTCTCCTGCTCAATGGCCGCGTTGCCTTTGGACCTCTCATCGGCGATTCGCTTCTTGCAGTCCGCCTTCTTGTGGCCCGTCTTATGGCAATAGTCGCACTTCCCCGAGAAGGTGTAGCCGTCCTTGCCCTTGCCTTTGGCGTCCTTTCCGCCCTTGGTTCCCGCGGCTGCTCCTCGACCTTTTCCGTCGCCCTTCTGCTTCCCTTTGTCACGCCAGAAGCAGTCGCGGGCCGTGTGACTTGGCTTGTGGCAGATCTGGCACTTGTCCTTGCCGTCCTTGCCTTTGCCCTTGGAGATCGCGTCGACGTCCATGTCGTTGCTCCCCTTGTTCGCTGTCGGAGGTCGCGAGACCACTCCACTTTGGCCGATCACCGCCTCGAAGATGCAGTTCCTCATCTGTGTGATGTCGCTGCGCACCTCGCGCTGCGCCGAGCGTAGCATGACCTTCATTTCCTCTGGTGCGTGGGCCATGATCGTGCTCGTCTTCATATTCTGCGTGACCTGCTCTCCGGTCGCGCGCTCGTACCTTGAGATCAACTCGTCCCAAGCGATCAGCACCTCCGTGAAGCGCCCCTTCCCCTCGCGATCCTTCCACCATGTCGGCGTGAGGGTCTGCTGGAGCATCTGGCCGTGCTCCTCATTCAGTCGCGGCCTGTACTCCCTGCACAGCCTTCTCATTGCCTCGAAGCCGTCGCCTCGCGGGCAGAGCTTCACGACGCTCTGCGCCGTGCCTTTCGTAGTGCTTGCCAGCAGGTGGTACAAGCTCCTCCCTACCAGCACTCCCTGCTCGCCGAGGTCGTCCGCGGTCAGCGGCTCCTCAGCGCCCCTTGATCGTTCCAGGCCCGCCGTCCAGCCCAGCAGGCCACAGTATGACTCGAACGGGAAGATCCAATCCTCGAAGTCTTCCCTCTTGCCTGAGAACGTCGGCACCTTGCCGATCCCACGTGAGTCTAGCAGCTGCACCCCAGCTGCTCCATTGTCGGCCGCCATGGCGCGCTGGCGCCACTGGCCTGAAGGGTAGGTTCAGGCAACCTCACGAACTGTCACCATGCAGAGATGACGATCTCACTCGATAGATCATCTTCGAGCCATAACAGCTTCGGCGGGGACACCCCGCTCCACTCAGTCCAGGCCTGCACGGGCCTTGCTCAGGGGACCACTTAGGGCACAAATCATGCACTAGGGCCTCTATGGGCCTAACGCTCACGCCAGGGCCTCCTTGGGCTCTGGCCTACTATCTGGCCGCCTCGGGAGGGGCCGTACACTCACTGACGCCTGCAAAGTTAGAATTCAATACGAAAAGGCGAAGAAAAGAAGGGGTGAGGATTTTATCAGATCTGAATGGGGCCCAATTCGGTCCGATTCTCTCTCTCTCTCTCTCTCTCTATATATATACATACATATATATATATATATATGTATGTATATATAAGGGGAAGTAGGAGGGGAAGGGATAAGGAAGACAGGGAGGAAGAGAAACACTTCGATGTATATTGGATAAGATGCAAGTGTGGGGCTCAATCGGAAAAAGGCGAACAGGAGGAGGAGGGAATATTCGGTTTGTATTTGAATGCAATCCAGAGGGGGGGGGCGGATAAGCAAAAAAACAAAGAAGATGAGGGGACAAGGAGGAGGGGGAGAAGGAAGATACTTCAGTCGGAGTTTAAGTTTAAACACTTAAACAACAAATGTTCAGTGGATTCCAAGACCTTTGAACACACACAAGGGTTTGCATTCCGAAAACTGAGGAAACCTGTACACTTATATGGAAAAGTATATAGCGCATTCAAGAGCCAATGAAAACACATGGTCATGAGCTCCCGACATGGAACGTCCATGTGAAAGCACAAGTGTCTGCGTTGCCCACAACAAAAAATATGTTGCTTTCATATGAGCAGCATTCTGCGAGCCCTCAAAACATGTGAACACACTAGTTTGGGGTTTTGTATTCTCTTCCTGGTCGCACGATACCATACTACGCATGATTGTATGTGTTTGTCTTTAGTGGTCTCGAATGGCACGGCACATTGCAATGTGTATACCTACACACATATACATTTGTTCATGTATATATATATATATATATATAGAAACGGACTGTCCTTTATGGTAGCTGCTTGTCCATTCTCTGGCCCCACAAAACTTCTCCTAGTCAGCAATCAACGCCGTCTTGCTTGCAAACCATTCTGCCATCAACATCAAAATAAAACCGTGTGGTGTTGTCTTTCCGCTTTCAAGCCCTCAAGCAATCCGTGCGTTTTTGCCTTAAGCATCACCGAAAGCATCCAATGTTATGGAGATTTGGGGTTCGAGGAGACAATAAAAACACAAGTATTAATATAAGAAACATACATAACGTCTCCGTGCTATTCCATCCCCCAATATCACTGAAACGTTGTGTGTATTTGTCTTTCCGCTTTATAAGATATCAATACAACCTCGCTGGTTTGTATGCTGTTATCCCCCAGGCTCAAAAAGAAGGGTGTCATTGAGATCTTGGGTTCGGCAACAACAAACAGCAAAACACACAAGGTTGTACTGAGATGCTGGGATGGAAGATCAGGGACACGTGGTGTGTTTTCAACGTTTTGGTTCAAACCATGAGCGAAACATTATACTGCTGGCCTTGCCACCTTCAAGATCCACATGAAACCTCGTGCGTCAACGACCTACAAAACAAAAGACACAAGGTGTTATTCCCTACCTAGGCTCTGCCTAGAAGGGTTCTTACTCTGTTAGCTTAAGGGGCCGGGCAGTGCAACACGCCCCGGGTGGTTCCCCCAGTCCCCGCCCCGCGGTTCCCCCAGTTGCGCCCCCTGGGTTCACCCAGCTTAGTTTAGCTTATCTTATCTCATATTAGCTTAGCTTAGCTTAGCTTAGCTTTGTCTAGCCTAGCTTGGTTTAACTTAGCTTAGCCTAGCTTAGCTTAGCTTAGCTTAGCTTATCTCATCTTAGCTTAGCTTAGCTTGGCTTGGTTGAGCTTAGCTTAGCCTAGCTTAGCTCAGCTTAGCTTAGGTTAGCATAGCTTCGCTTACCTTAGCTTAGCGCAGCGCAGCATAGCGCAGCGCAGCATTAGCACAGCATAGCATAGCATATCATGACCAAGCATATCATAGTATAGCATAGCATAGCATAGCTCAGAATAACAAAGCATACCATAGCATAGCATATCATAGTATAGCGCAGCACAACATAGCACAGCATAGAATAACAATGCTTAGCATAGCACGGCATAGCATAGCATAGCATAGCATAGCGCAGCATAGCGCAGCATAGCATAGCATAGCATAGCAGAGCAGAGCAGAGCATAGCAAATCATAGCGCAGCATCGCATATCATAGCATAGCCTAGCATAGCATAGCATAGCGCAGCATAGCATATCATAGCATCGCGCAGCGTAACATATCGTAACATAGCGCAGCATAGCATAGCATAGCATAGCCTGATATGCTAGCATAGCCTCCTATGCTCCTAGGAAAGTGCATGTGTATAGGTAGGTGTAGGTGTAGATGTGGATGTAGGTGTAGATGTAGATGTAGATGTAGATGTAGGTATAGATGTAGCTTTAGATGTAGATGTGAGTCTCGCTGTTGATGTAGATGTAGATGTATATGCAGGTGTAGATGTAAATGTAGCTGTCGGTGTAGATGTAGATGTTGCTTTCCTAAATGCTCCAACTCCTAGGTAGGGTCGCACTGGGATAATTGTGATTTTGACCAGGGGAAGATAAAGCAATACGGTGTTATTAGAATCTGGTGGCAGCATGGCCTGCAAGCCAGACGGCGCTGACGTCTGACTCGAAACAGATTGTGGGGCCAGGAGAAAACCAGACAAACTAAATAGTATTTAGCAATGATTCAAGCCACCCGAGACAACAAACAAACCGACACATAGCATACTGTATGGTACAATATCGTGAGACCCAGAACAGGACAAAACTGTGGTCTTCACTCGTGTTGAAGGCCCTCGGAATGCTTGTCCTATGCAAACACAATGTGTTCGTGACGCAGGCGATGCAAAACCCTGAGTGTCAACAGGGGAGTCCCATTTCAGGAGCTCAAAACCTTGTGTGTCCATTGGTGTTTGAAGGTGCTACATCGTTTCCATATAAGCCCACAGGATTATCCGCTGACGGACTACAGGTCCTTTTGTGTTCGAAGGTTTGGGGATCCACTGTATAGTGTTTCTCCTTCCCCCTTCCTTCCCTTTCCTGTCTCATTCGGCTATGGATCCCATTCAAGGCCAATAGAATCCTCCCTCCCCCTCCTCATCGCCCTTTCCTATTGCATCCTCATTGGATCTGGTTCAAGCCTGATCGGATTATTCCTCCTCCTGCTATCCCTCCTCCTCCCTTCCCCATTTGTTCCCTGTCCATTTTTTTGTCGGGCCCCAGTTGGATCCCATTCAGATCCAATAGAATCCTCCCCCCCTCCTCCTCGCCATGTCCTTTGAATTCTTATTTGGATCATATTCAATCCTAATCGACTCTTCCCTCCCCCCCCTGGCCATTTTCCTTCTTGAATCCTTCATGCGAATCCTATTTTATCCTATCCCTCCCCCTTCTCCTCGCCCTTTCCTGTTGAATCCCCATTGAAACCTAAGAAGTACCAGAATGAAAGAAAAGAGGAGAGGGAGAACGCGCGGAAAGAGCGGAAGTGACAGGATGGAAGGCTGGAATTTTGCCATACCATATATATATATATATATATATATATATATTATGCAGAAAGCCTAACCCCGCTCGACCAGAGAAGACGGCGGTGCACGGCGAAGCCGAGTGCAGAGAAAACGTGTTTTCCACAGCCTGCATCGTGCCGCCGAAGGCGGCGATCATCCAAGAGGCAATCGCTATGAAACACAGATCATTGCACGTGCACACAAGCGATGCTGAAACAAAGCCCCGGTGGTGGAGGGCGATGGCGGACGGTGCCGAAAGAACTTGAGCACACGCAGTTGCGGTCGAGCTCAAGTGAGAGATGAGGCACAATTATCTTCAAAGAAAGTCATTATGCAGAAAGCCTAACCCCGCTCGACCAGAGAAGACGGCGGTGCACGGCGAAGCCGAGTGCAGAGAAAACGTGTTTTCCACAGCCTGCATCGCGCCGCCGAAGGCGGCGATCATCCAAGAGGCAATCGCTATGAAACACAGATCATTGCACGTGCACACAAGCGATGCTGAAACAAAGCCCATAACCGCCCATACTGGGAGCTGGTGAGCAGGACAGCTCACCTCTCTGAGCGGCCGCCGAAGACGAAAGAAGATTTGGCGGCCAGCCTCCTGCCGACACGAGCGGCGTCTGACAGCTGGCCTTGGGACAACTTGGCGAGCTGGCGTGTGAGGCGGCCGGCCTTCTCATAGCGACGCACGCTGGCGGCGCACTTCCAGCGGCCCCGACGCTGCACCTCCGCCAGGGAGCGATGCTTCAGCGCAAAATCCGTCGAGGCCCCGCCATGCCGAAGGGAGTGCGGGCAGAGACGGAGGCGCTGCAAGCCGGCAGCGTCAGCCGCCTCACGGAAGGCGACCTCGAACTCACGGTGGCTGAACGGGAAGAGCGGTCTGGTCGGCGGCGTGGCGGCCTTGAGGTCCCGTAGGAGCTTGGCCACCCAGCGCCGCGAGATGCCGGCGCTGCCGCTGCCGCCGAAGGTAACCGTGTCGTCGTACTCGCCGGCCTTCGTCGTCACAGACGGAGGGCAGTCCGCCGGGGCGGCCGGCATCAGGGTGATCGAGACCTGGGGGTAGGCCGACGTCGCGGAGTGGCGGAGGCAGGTCACGTCGCAGGCCTTCAGGTTGAGCAGCTCCGAGAGGCGCAGGTAGCCGTCGAAGGCCACGGCGACGCCGGCCCCCACGAGCTGCTGGCGCGGGCTGTGGGAGGTGAGGCACTGATCGATGATCAGCAGCGCCGCCTCCCAGGGGCAGGGGTCCCTCTGCTCGCCGGGCGACGCCTTCGCGAAGCCCTTCAGCGTGAGGCGGGCCTGGGGGAACTCCGTGA